TGTGCACTCCACCTTCACCTGTCCCCAGTAGGGACTGTCACCTGACCCCAGCAGGGATCAAGGAATAATCACATGCACTCAAACTTCCTCATCCAACTCCAGGAGCAGAGGGAAGTTATGATTCTTTGCAGATAAGCACCTCCAATGGGGGCAGGGAAATATAACTCGGGGTAGCAATTCCCACAGGGAAATACTTTGGGGAATCTTGTATACATCAATGGTCACTAGTACACACACATTCGTCTCTTCAGCATGAATTCGTCTCTTCAACCAGAATTCCTACTGTGTGTGTGCCACAGAGAGTTAGGCTCTGGACATGTGAGTGGGGAGGCGGGCTCAGACTGTCCCTTCTAGGAGCACACAGCGAAGTGAAGCAGACAGACACTAATCAGCAGCTTGTGGAAACATGCCATTAAAGCCATGGCGAATGCAATGAAGGCAGACACAAACAGTGGGGATAACAGAGTGCGAGAAGTGAAATGACTTTCTCTGGGACAGGAACAAAAGACAGAGGATGACACAAAAGTTGGGAGCACGGGGGTGGGTGTAAGGGGAGATGGGGAGAAAGAAGGGAGAAGGAGAGGATTGGGGAGAGTTTGGGGAAACGGGATGGTTGAGATGGAGGAAGGGTGGATATGGGAGCAGGGAAGTAGATATCTTAATTAAGGGAGTCATTTTAGAGTTGGCAAGAGACTTGACTCTAGAGGGGTTCCCAGGTGTCCAAGGAGATGTCCCCAGCTTACTCCTTGGGCATCAGAGGAGAGGGTGCCTGAACTAGTCTTGTCCCATAGCCACACTGATGAATATCTTGCATATCACCATCTTTCATCTGGTGATGGATGGAGATAGAGACAGAGACCCACATTGGAGCACTGGACTGAGCTCCCAAGGTCCAAATGAAGAGCAGAAGGAGGGAGAACATGAGCAAGGAAGTCAGACCGCGAGGGGTGCGTCCACCCACGGAGATAGTGGAACTGATCTAATGGGAGCTCTCCAAGGCAAGCTGGATTGGGACAGAACAAGCATGTGATCAAACTGAACTCTCTGAATGTGGCTGACATGGGGGCTGACTGAGAAGCCAAGATAATGGCACTGGGTTTTGATTCTACTTCATGGACTGTCTTTGTGGGAGCCTAGTCTGTTTGGATGCTCACCTTCCTAGACCTGGATGGAGGGGGAGGACCTTGGACTTCCCACAGGACAGGGAACCCTGACTGCTCTTTGGACTGGAGAGAGAGTGGGGGGAGTGGGATGAAAATGGGAGGAGGGGAGGAAGTGGAAATTTTTAATGAATAAATAATAAATTTTAAAAAAGGCAGAGGAAGATTTCTCTGCAATCATGAATATATAAGATAATCATATCCTCTAGCAGGGCTGTTTGATCTGTCAATAAAGAATGGTATCATTATTTTTAATCATCCGAAGAGGAGGAAACCTTACTTTAAAAGAAAAATTTAAGTTTTGATAAGCAGTAGTTGAGACATTTTGTATAAATGTTTACAAAGAAAATGGAGACACCATCAAATGCAATGTGTGGGCACAGTCTAAATAATTTTTAATAATGTCTAACATAGGTGTCATTACAGGAAATGTGTATTTTGACGTCAGTTTTGAGTACAAACATTTATGACTGAAACAAACATTTTCTTTTACAATCACTCTAGTCCCCAAACTCAAGCAAAGGTTATGTTTAGATGGCTTCTTCCCTGCCCACAGAGAGCACTGCTGTCCAGAGAAGTAGAAGGCCATGCCAAATACCACTGATGTAACCTTTGCTTCCCCTGCTCTTGGTGTACCTACTTAACCCATACATATGGAGTTATCTCCAAAACAATGGAGATCAAAGACTTGAAGAAAAACAACTTTGATCAGAAAAAAGACTCAAAGAAAAAGGTACATAAATAATAAACATGAAAGCAAATTTACCTAAGAACTATAAAATCAAGACCAGAGAAGTGGATACATTTTTTGTCTATTTCCAAAGTAACTGATGAAAATCAAACTGTAGAATATCTTTGGGCTTGTTTCATTATGATTGAAACTTTACATTTCTTAATTAAAAGTTGGATTCCTTTGGAAACAATCTTTGAGAAGCAGTCTAGATTCTAAAGTTTTCAAACCTTATTTGTATAGTTTCAGATTTCCCACAAAACTAACCTTTAAAGGGCTCACTTATTGAGATGCAGAGTACTAGTAATGAAGAATGGCCTCTATAATTTGGAAACATTAGTAAAGTACACATTTTTAAACTGCATATTTATGTGGAGCCAATTTTTCTTCATTGAACCAAAATATCATACTAGAATGAGTTGAATGCAAAGGGAGATAGGAGAATCCAGCTGTGTTTTATTAAGCTGTACATAAAAACTATTTAGAAAAAAAAAAGTAAACCAGTACTGCTCTTATCACTATGTGGTGAAGAGGCTCTTTCTTTTTGTTTAAAACAACAACAACACGCATTTGCAGGGCTGGGATTTATTTAGTTCAGCATACGCAAAGCCCTCTATTCAATCCCCAGCACTAAAAAGCAACGACAAACATTTTAATTGTTACTTTTTTTAATGAAATAGAAAAGATTTCTAAAATTTCTGTTTTAAACTCTCATATGATAAGCATCCAGAGGAATAAGTTTTACATATGAAAATTTTGATGGCCTCCAATAATGTCTGAGAGGGCAAAGGTGTCCCCAGGGCCTCTGTAGCACCCGCTCAGAGATTCACTGCTTACCACTCTGGTTCACTCTAAGATCCCATAAGTGAGACATCCTCATTCCAGTTTACAGCTGACACACTGTGATTCCCACCAAATGGCTCGTATCGGCATCATGTTGAAATTAGTAACAACAGGAAAACGCCAGGTATCTTCTGCTCTTGCAAATGTGTACAGGAATTCGTGAAGAAAGGTAGAAAATTAATGCCAAACTTTATAACAAAATTCTTACTAAACAACACCACTAATGGTGGAATTATTATTATGTTTGAGGAACAAATAACCAATGAATAAGCTCCACTGTAAGAGCTCTATAGCTAGGAAAGATTTTCATTGGCAAAACTCTCTATTCTGAAAATCAGCTCTAGGCACAAAAGTTATTGTAGAAACCTAAGTGTCACTTCCGCCAAGTCAGCTGTGAACTCTTTTTTAGTAACGTAATTAAATTATGAATTTAAACTGTAGCTAAGCAACAGATCTGGAACTAAGTTGCTTTTCCAGTTTTAAAAAAAGTTAAAACTTGTATATTGTGTAGTTTGCTGTGTTTGTTTTTTGTTAGCTTTTTAAATCTTTGGGGTCCACCACTCAATTATCAAATAAATACACAGAGACTTATTCTTACTTACAAATGCCCATTCCTAACTTGGCTTGTTTCTAGCCAGCTTTTCTAACTTAAATTACCACATTTCTCTTCAACTATATTTTGCTTCTGGGTTTTCCCCTTTCTTTATTCTATATATCTTTCTCTCCTTTTTACTCCATACCTGGCTGTGTAGCTGGGTGTCTGGCCCCTGGCATCCTTCTCTTCTTTACTAGTTCCTCCCTCCTTGCTATTTATTCTCTCTGCAGGTCAGCCGCAAGCCCCGCTTGTCCTTTCTCCAGCCTGCAAGTGACCGTTCAGCTCTTTATTGGAACAATCGTGTGTTTTAGGCAGGCAAAGTAATACAGCTTTACAAAGTTACAGATGCAACACTTCTTTGCATCATTAAACAAATATTCCAGAACATAAGCAAATGTAACACATCTTAAACTAATATTCCACAACAGACTTGGTAGTAAAATAAGCAGAGTAAATTGTCTTTGTCACAGACTTTTGGTTAATACTTGGATCAGTAAGAATGTTCATATTTTAAAATCCTGTATAGACATCTCTTTGGATCTCTTATCTACCAAAAATCTCTTAAAACACAATGTCATCCTCTATTTTTCCTGATATTTGAGTTGTGTAGGAAAGATGCAATTAACGTAAAATCCTTCTTAAAGATCATCTGCTTTTCATTTTTCTTCAGCCTTCTTGTCAACCTTCACTGTGGGACATATCATTTTCCACAGACTGGGCTATCACTGTCCACAGACTGGGCTATCACTGGCCATAGACTGGGATATCACTTTCCACAGATTGAACTATCATTGTCCACAGACTGGGCTATCACTTTCCACAGATTAGACTATCATTGTCCACAGATTGAGATATCACTTTCCACAGATTGGACTATCATTGTCCACAGACTGGGCTATCACTTTCGACAGACTGGGCTATCACTTTCCACAGACTGGGCTATCACTGTCCACAGACTAGGCTATCACTGTCCATAGACTAAGCTATCACTTTCCACAGACTTGGCTATCACTGGCCACAAACTGGGCTATCACTGGTCACAGACTAGGCTATAACTCTTCACAGACTAGTCTGTAAATAATAAAACATGGCAATATTTTTTGATAATAAGCCACCTATTTTTATTGTAAGAATTCATTAGTTTCCAATAATATTTCATACTTCATTTTTACTAAAAATCTACCATGTGTACAATCATATCATTAAAATAATAAACTCTACCATTATGAAAATATATCTTTTGATTCTTTTAAGGCAATGTTAGATCTGGAGAACTGGCTCAGCAGTGACCAGCGCTTGCTGCTCTTCTAGAAGACCCCAGTCCGGACTCCAGCAACCAAGGTCCATGACTCACAAAGGCCCATAACTCCAGCTCCAAATGATATACTGCTCTCTTCTGGCCTATACTAGACACTGCGCTCACGTGCATAAACCCACAATCAGACATATACATAAATAATAACACAAATAATAGAAAAAACAAGAGGTGAGATGCAGTTCAGTCAATAGAAGGCTTTTACAAAGTCCTGGTTTCAATTCCCACCACTGAATAAACTGGGCATGGCGTTGCACACCTATAATTCTAGCCGTCAGCTGGTGGAGGCAGGAAGGTAAGTACTGGTCATCCTTGGCTACATAGAGAGTTTTATTTAATTTATTTTTTTTTTGAGGGATGCAGTGAACTTTATTGATGGTATTCAAGAGAGTAGGGCTCCCTAAGCCCCTTCTGCTATTTGGGAGTCTGGGATGGAAACTGTAAGGGAGACCTCAGCGTCAAGGGTTGAGTTAGGACAGGGACTGCTCAGCAGCCGAGCGCCTCTCTTGCTGTATCCTTGCTGGGGTGGGTGGTCCAGGGCGGGCTTCTTACTCCTTGGAGGCCATGTAGGCCATGAGGTCCACCACTCGGTTGCTGTAGCTGAACTCATTGTTGTACCAGGAAATGAGATTTACAAAGTTGTCATCGAGAGCAATGCCAGCCTCAGCATCGAAGGTGGAAAAATGGGAGTCACTGTTAAAGTCGCAGGAGACAACCTGGCCCTCAGTGTAGCCCAGGATGCCCTTTAGTGGGCCCTCGAATGCCTGCATCACCACCTTCTTGATGTCATCATACTTGGTAGCTTTCTCCAGGCGGCATGTCAGATCCACAATGGACACGTTGGGGGTAGGAACACAGAAGGACATGCCCGTGAGCTTCCCGTTCAGCTCTGGGATGACTTTGCCCACAGCCTTGGCAGCGCCAGTGGACGCA